GAGACTTCTATGTTTTCTCATTTTCTTTTATATTTTACACAAAAGATAGCATACTCTATATGTTACTTTGCATTTTGCTTTTGCACTTAACAGTATCTCCTGGAAATTGCTCCAAATTAGAGAGTAGAGATCATCATTTTTTTAACAGCAGCATAGTACTCCATTGTGTATATATACTATGGTTTATTCAACCAGTCTCTTATTCTTGGATATATTTAGGTACTTTCCAATATTTTTCATATAAAAGTGGTATTGCACTGGATAACACTACGTATATGTAATAATATACATATATTAAAGGTGTATATTCAGGGTTAAATCTTAGAATTAATATTGCTAGGGTTAAGGGTAAACACATAGGTAGTTTTTAAATATGTTGTCAAATTATCCTTGATAGGTGTTACAGCAGTTTGCATTTTCGCTAGTAGGAGAGTGCCTGGGAAACTCAAAATTTTGATCTTTACGCTCATATAATGATAACTCAGAAGGGATTCAGGAGCCAGGACAGAATGTAGATCAAATGTTAGGTGTAAAATTTAGTGGGAAAAGGGATGCCCATACAAAATCAATTCACAAAATGCTTTTACAGACCCTTGGACACTATCTGCTTGAGGGCACGGTGGTCTTGTTTAATTTTTCTCTTTGTGGTCAGGTATCTCTTACCAGGCATCTTAGCAAGATGCCTAACACACTGTAGGTGTTCTGTAGAGATGGACTGTTTAAATGAATTAAAGAATAAACTGGCAAAAATCTGGCATTGCTCATGGGAATAAACAAACCTGGCTAGGAGATTATTTTGAAGGGACAAATCTCACCTCTCTCCTCATCCCTCCTAGACAGACATTTCCTTGTTCCTGGGGACTGAGCAGTTTGAAGTTTCCAATGATGAAAACATGTAAATCGTCCTTGCATAAGGAGATGGGGCCGCACAGAGGCCTATTGTCTGCAGGGACATTGAGAGCTCTGTGGTGAAAGAGGATTGTCCTCAACTGCAGCCTGGTCTTTTTTAGCCTGAGCATTGCCTTTTCTCTCTGGAATGTAATATTCTACCCATGCCCTCTGAGTGGCATTGTGCAGTAGCAGGGTCAGGAGTGGGAGGGTGCAGGCGGGGAAATGATCTCTATATAGGCAACCCAATAAGTCAGAGGCAGCATCAGAGGGCATGGCTAGGCCTGGGTCTCTGAATAAGTGCTTTGTGCAGGTCTTGGTGGCAGTGGCTGGAGAAGCACCTTCCTCTTGCAGCTTACCTGGTGGCTGAACAAAGCAGCCTTTCAGGCCTCGGGCCCCACAGCAAACATTGCGCAGGTGATTGACCTGCTCTCTTGCCCTGCAGTGGCCCAAGGATTGCATTTCTGCCTGGCATTTCTTCTGGGTCACCACTAGGGCCCGTTCTTCTTCCAGAATGTAGGGGAAATGGTGATGACAGCCCATGAGGAGATGGGGCACTGGTTCCAAGGTCAGACAGGTTATTAGAACTCTGAGGACATGTTTTCAGAATCATAGGGAGCAGGCACAGCTAATATAGCTATCTATTGGCTCTTGGCATGGTCCACACTACATTAGCAAGCACTCTTTCCCTGGCTTCCAGCATTTATAAAATTTCTTTTCTCACTTGATCTCCATGATAGTCTTGGGAGGTCCCTGGGACAAAATTTACATGGAGATAGTGGAATCGTACTGTGCTGAAGTGCATCCAGGACGGTGTAGTCTTCTGACTCTCAATTCAATTTTTTGGACACAATTATGCACAGTATCATGGGGATTAGTGTGATGATGGGGCAAAATTATATGCTGTAACCTTATTTTGGGTTTTGTTTTGGCTACTATGAAGAGACTTGAAAGGACAAGAGATGTTTTCCTCTTGCTTATCATAATAAAAGAGGTGAATCTTTCTGTTCTGAGTTTGAGTTCCTTGTCTAAGGGATTGTTAATAGTTTCTATGGTATCAGGGTTAAAAGCAAAAATTGTAAAGCACCTGGAAAAAAACACACATAATTCTTTTTGGACTAATAAACTCATGGTTTATAAGGTGCTGTGGGCCCAGGAAATAGAACGGGGTTCACTCAAAGGTGAAAGGAGATGTTTTCCTTTTCTGTGGTGGAGACAGGGGTAGGTAGTGTTTTTAGTGTTTCCATGAGTGGCAGAGATCCGTGGCCTATATGTCTGATGCATCAAAGATGGGGAGGTGTCTGTGAGAGGATTGTGGAGGCTGACACTGAAGCTTTACGAGCAGGCATTGGTTCTGTGGTCAGGCCTCTGTTGAGTGAAAAGGACTGCTGTGAAAGTACATCTGAGCTCACCTGAAGCATCCTCACCTGCTAGATGGGGGAGGACAAGTTCGTTCAGTAGCCTCATGCACGAAACAGACGATTGGAAGATGACAACATGATGGAGCAATCTCTCACTTTTTGGACACCATGTCAACCTCCTTGATTGTCTTTAAAACCCTAGGAAGAGAAGGAATTCCCCTTCAAAAGTGACTGAAATGGAATCCTTCTTGTCTGTAGCAAGCTGGGACTCAGAGCCAAATTTAATTCACTTAAAGAAAGTGAAATGATTTGTTCATTTATTCATTCAACCAAATTTATTGAGTGGTTACTATGACTCAATATGATCTCAAAGAATGTCAGTATGTCCTTCTCTGGACACCTTAACAAAGTTTGATTAAAATGAATTCATTAGATATTTGGCCTCCGTCATGATTCTTTTCTCTGTCATGCTCCCTCTTCATGAATCTTTGCCCCACAGTGTTTGCATAAATCTGACTCTTCAAAATGTGGTTCAAGTACTTCCTTTTTTTGGCAGATACTCATGTTCTCCCATCCAACCCATAAATCAAGGTGTAGCTGGGTTTCAGCTTGAGCATGGGCCATGTCTGCTTACAGGTCCAGGCGTGCTTGAGGCTATTGGGAAAACTTCAGGTTTGTATCTGATGGAAATATTTTTGGGGATATTGAGGATCCTCCTGTGAAAGAAATCATAATGTTTCCACTTGTGGGATCCAGACAGACACATTTGGGCATGTCTGGAGAACCAGTTGAGAGGCCTTAGGTTTTAGGAAGTGGGTAGCTGACTCCCAAGAAAGAAACTGTGCTCTGGCTGCCATTTGGGTTTGTTTCCTAGCCTGCCTTAGGCTTTTTTAAAGGGTGGATCTTAAGCAGCACAGAGTTGCCACACATAGAAATGAAAATAACTGCTTCGTTTAAATATCTGCAAACTTTGGGATAAGAGGCATGCAGTTTGGTACTGCTTTATCTGTTCTTGGAGGTTTATGCAAAAGGGATACAAATGCTCTTCTCCATTTGTCAGAATATTACCAAAATTTTTGATGTTTAACACATCAAAGCCTTTGGATCATTGAACATGAGACTTGGCAGAGCAGAGGTAACACTGTTGTGAAATCTTGGTCTAGGGGATAATCTGAGACAAAATAATCTGAGACAAGTCTCAATCAGTTTAGAAGTTTACAGCTTGATTTTATGCATTTCAGAGGGACAGAAGTTACAGGCAGATGTCAATCAATACATGTAAGGTAGGCATTGTTCAGTCTCAAAAGGCAGGACAACTTGAAGTGGAGGGTGAAGTGGGGGTGTCCTTCCAGGCCAAATATTTTCTGATTGGCAATGGTTTAAATATTTAAGCTATTATCTAAAGACATGGAATCAATAGAAAGGAATATATGCGTTAAGATAAGGAATTGTGGAGACCAAGGTTTTTATTATGTAGATGAAGCCTCTACGTAGTAGGCTTCAGAGGCAGTAGATGGTAAATAGTTCTTGTCAGAGTTAAAAACATCCCAGACTCTAAGTTAATCTTTCTTGGATCAGGAACAGACCTGGAAAGGTAAGGGGAATCTCTCCAGAATATAGATTTCGTTGACAAGAGACAGATTTGCAGGGCCATTTCAAAATACGTCACTTAAGTATATTTTGGGGTAAAATACTTCAATTTCTTTCAAGACCTACTATCTGTCATGGATGTTATACTGGAGTCACACTGAAATTTGATATTTCATTGTTACAAAGAGTCTTTTGTCAGTCTTAAGATTTCTATTTTAATGTTAATGATGGTCAGTTATGCCTGAATTCCAAAGGGAGAAGGATATAATGAGGCAAGTCTGACTCCCCCTTTCCCATCATGGTTTGCACTAGTTTTCCAGGTTTACTTTGGAATGCCCTTGGCTGAGAGGAAAGTTCATTCAATTGGTTGGGGGGCTTAGAATTTTACTTTTGGTTTACAAGGGCTTGGTTGAGTACTACAGAGGAGCAGTGGGCACCTTGATGCCTAGTGTCCAGGCGGAGGCCTGCCTGAGTAGACTTGTTCAGGAATAATGAGTTAGATTATGCCTGTGGAAGTCCAGAAATTATTTGGTGGAAAGATCTTGAAGATGATGGAGAGTCCTGTTTTAGTCCAGTGGGAACAGAATGCTACAATATTTGTGGTGTTTTGGGTTAATGTAATCCAGAAGCAGAGAGAGTGGGGGAAGGAATGATAGGCAGTAGGGAAAACTCATGGACAACACTGTGGCAAGTCCAAGGCCACTTGAGCTCATCACTAGGAGAGGGTTGTGTTTTAAAAACATAATTTTGGCTGGGCGTGGTGGCTCATATCTGTAATCCTAGCACTTTGGGAGGCCAAGGCAGGTGGATCATGAGGTCAGGAGATGGAGACCATCCTGGCTAACATGGTGAAACTCCATATCTACTGAAAAAAAAAAAAAAAAAAAAAAAAAAAAATTAGCCGGGTGTGGTGGTGGGTGACTGTAGTCCCAGCTACTCAGGAGGCTGAGGCAGGAGAATGGTGTGAACCTGGAAGGTGGTGCTTGCAGTGAACTGAGATCACGCCACTGCACTCCAGCCTGGGCAACAGAGCGAGACTCCGTCTCAAAAAAAAAAAAAAAAAAAAAAAAAAAGGGATAATTCTGGAGGCAGGCAGATTGGAGATGGGTAAAACTGAAGAAGGAAAAACTGATAACATATCACATTTCTTAATATTTCCAGGACTGCTTCTGGCCACAGGATATGCCTGGTCTAGGAAATGGCCACATTTCCTCCCTCAGGACCTCTGCTTGGATGGGCTGTCTTGGAAATAAGGTGAACAATTAGTCTTTATTCTGAATTCTCTTTTGATAACTCTGTTCTCTAGTTATTAAAGAGTACTTTAACTTAGAGGTATTTGTTTATAATCCTTCATTTTGTGAGTTTTTTTTTTTTTTTTTTTGATAATCAAAGCTTTGCCTCAAGAACTAATTTTTGCCTACATTATAGGTTTCTAGAAACAATTCTGGAACAGTATTGAAATATGAATAATAAATGAAATATAATCCCTCCAGTTGGATTCTCAACCCTCCCATATTTTTTCCATTTTATCCTGAATTTATAAACATACTCCCATCCTTAAGACTTCTGCTTGCTTTTTAAGGCACCCAGTAATGTTGATTGACCTTCACCTCTCCCTTGACTCAAACATACACACTCACACACACCCATGCACACTCACACACCACACTTCTCTCATCCCATTCCTGAGGTGCTTGACCTCCTCTCACCAGAAACAGTGGCTCTCTAAATCTAAAGCTCAGGGAATTACTTTGAAGAGAGGATGAGCCATGCAGTTTGAAAAATTACAGCTAGGACTGGGCAAGGTGGCTCAGTGGCTCATGCCTGGAACTGTAGCATTTTGGGAGGCCAGGATGGATGAATTGCTTGAGCCCAGGAGTTCAAGACCAGCCTTGGCAACATGAAGAAACCCTGTCTTTACAAAAAAATACAAAAATTAGCTGGGTGTGATGGCATGCACCTGTAGCCCCAGCTACTTGGAAGAGAATTGTTTGAGCCTGGGAGGCAGAGGTTGCAGTGAGCTGAGATTGCACCACTGCCCTTTAGCCTGGGCGATAGAGCCAGACCCTATCTAAAAAAAAAGATAAAAATTCCAACTGAAATGTTGCTGTTTCTAAAAGGTCATGGAATGCCCAGCTTTTCAGGATGGAAACCTATTGACCCTTATGCCATTTATAACTACTTTCAGGATTATGCTAGTCTTTTAAAAAAGTCAAGTATTATTTGATTACATTTTCTGTACTGGGAATGTAGGAATTTTGCATATGTGACATGGAAAGCAATATATGTTGGAGTCCAAATATAGGAATCAACCAAAATAATTATTGTAAACAAATTAATAATTGTCATTATATTGCCATCCATGCCATTGGGATAATAAGAGGATCTTCTCCTATGGTATTTTTGCATGGTGAAGATCCACAGGGCTGTGAAAGATGGGCTGAGGAGTCACATGGACAGGGCAGGAGGGCAGATTTTCATGGGTAATCGTAATGACCTGGTGCACATCTTTCTGGAAACTGATTAATGTAGTTCTTAGCCATTTGCATATTTTTGTGAGTGACAACTATTTTAAGATATTAAATTGAAATTGATCCATTATATTATTATCTTTTAAAACAATAATTAATCTCTTTAACAGTTTGGATAACTAAACTTTAAGAGTATTATTAATCTGGAAATGATCAGAGCTGGAACATTGCTGTTAAAGGAATGCATTTATTCTTTTTTTAATATGTCTTATATAGAAAGCACGTAAAATGGAACTTACAGTTAACTTACTGCCTTAGTTTGTTTGTGTTGCTCTAACGGTATACTTGAGGCTGGGTAGTTTATAAAATTAAAAAATGATTATTTGGCTGTTGGCTCTTTGGGTGGTACAAGAAACATGGCACCGGCGTCTGTTCAGCTCCTGGTGAGAAGCTCAGGCTGCTTCCACTCATGGCAGAAGGCTAAGGGGTGCTCGTGTGTGCAGTGATCCCATGGTGAGAGAGGAAGCAAAGGTGAAAAGTGGGAGGTGCCAGGCTCTTTTTAACAACCAGTTCTTATGGGAACTAACAGAGCAAGAACTCACTCACTACTGTGAGAATGGCAACAAGACATTCATGAGGAATTTGCCCTCAGGACCCAAATACCTCCATTAGGCCCTACCTTCTAACATCACTACTCTGAGGATTAAATTTCAATACGAAGTGGGAGGGGACAAACATCCAAATTACAGCACTTACTTTATCAATTTTCTCAACAAAACTATAAAATATGCAACCCTATTTTCAATGTTAGAATTTGCCAAAATGGCTAGCCCTTCTTTTACCTTTAAAACTACTTTAAAGAGTAAAATACTAAATAAATGGAAGAAACCTAAAAATCAAGTCAGCTGATTTATGGTCATGTGATTTTCAAAAATCTTTTTTCTAACCAGGCCTGCATATGTAAAGGAAGGCTCAAACCTTCCATAGAGTTTCAAATCCTCTTCTACCCAAATATTGTATTTCCTCAGAACTGGCTTAACGTTTCTTGGTCAAGCCATATAACCTGTTCTAGAAGGGAACCCCGTCTGTCTCATTTTTATGTGTACAAAAAATGGTTAAAATGGGACAATGCCACTTTTTTTTTTTTTTTACCCCGAATGGTGGCTGCCAGCTATTAAAATGCTAATTACCCCCAAAATACAAAAACACCAAATACAGGAGCCAAAGACAGCCAGAAAACAAGAGGAATGAAGTCTACTGAGTGATTAATCATTTGATTAACCAGGTAAGTCTCTGGCACGTTACTAATTAGCTCACTTACAAAGCCCTGCACTGAACAGCCCTGGTTTGATTAAAGAGGTGCCGAGCATTCAAACCCTGATGCTTGAGCTGCTTTTATAAAACAAAATGCGACTTTCATTCTAAGCTCATCTCTGTAATCCAGAGATGACTTCTCAGGCCTCTGACACTCAGACCTAGGCAAATAAATCAAACAGCCAGAAAATAGTCCTGTGAAAACAGCTCAGAGAATATAATCTGTCTTCTAGGACTCTTTATTCTAATTTGTAAAGGAGATTGTCTAAATTCTGAGGTTGCAGTAACTACTTGTTGATGGCCCATTGGGTTATCTGCAGGCATTGGTAGAAGACTCTGCCTTTGTAGAAAGTCATAAATCTGCTCTCACTCCACTCTATTCCTGTGGTAGGATTTATGAGATTTAAAAGAAGATGTTTGACATCGTTATTACAGATCTTCTCAACTTTACTATGGAGTTTGCCTTTAAAATATATTCACAGTTTATTTCTTCTTGGCTAAGTATTTCTATTCTTAGTCATTTTAATGGATTCTTTTTTTCCCTGGATGGAAACATCCATCTTCTCTGTGGTACTAATTTAGAGTGATCCTGACTGCCTACAAAATTAAGGAGGTATATTAGACTCTTTCTGCTCCATGATTCTACTTTGGATTCTCATACAGAGTCTTTGCTTCTTTATTTTTTCAGCTTGCTTAAAATAACTGAATACTTTTTCAGGCTGTACACTGCACCAATGAGTCTGGCAACAATGCTATTGTAGTTTTCTTTGTAACTACTGCAGGAATTAAAAAAAAAAAATCTAATAGAAATGTTGGTTGGGTTAGCGGAAGTACAGTGTTAAGGTCAAAGCCAAATTCTTATGATATTTCAGGTTGATCACATCATGGCTGGTTATCACCTCCCCTCTGGGTGCCATATTCCGAAGGGTTATTTTCAAAACAGAGCTTGTCTAACAATGGCCAGGAAAGAGAGGGTCGTGTTGGGACATCTTGTCATGGGGGAATAGCTAAGGAACTGAAGAAGAGACCAGAGTGGATATGAACATGGCATCTGTCTTTAAATACCTGAAAGATGGAATGAAATATACTCTTGTTCACTGTTATAACTCCAACATGTAGCAAAGTGCCTGGAAAGAGCAAGCATAAGCAACAGTGATCATGACTTTTTGAACACAGAGTATGTGCCAGTCATTGTAATGGTGTTTTGCTTACCCTATCTTACTTAGAAATTATTATTATCTCCAATATATAGTTGAGGAAGCTCAGGCTCAGAAAGATTAAGAAACTTGTTCTAAAGTGCATGGTACATATGTAATCTAGGAGTCAAGACAGGTCTGTGTCCGGGGCCTGAGTACGTCTCTCCATGGCAGCCTGACTCTCATGGCACCAATTTTGATGCCACAATGAGCTTAATATTCACTGGGGATCTGAGTTGGAACTTTTGTGACCAAATCTTAGCACTTACATTTTTTTTTGCTTATGGATGAGGAATTGAGGTTTGGGGAACTGAGGTTGCATAACTGGTGTATTCCAGAATCAGGACTAAAAACCCAAGACTTTCTACAAAACCCAGTCTCTTGATCACTATGTTCTGTCTCCTCTCTGCTATGAATAACTCAATACATGCTTGATTTTAGCTTGATCTGGACAAAATACTACTGTTTTAAGTGAGAATCTCCATTATATCTACCTTCTTCTGCTTAACTTTTGAAAACTGGGAACTCCCTTATTTTCTGTACCTGAATTCTCGGTTTGCCCTTAACTGGTATTCAGTTTTTCTCTGGATTCTTTATCTGCCCTGCTCCAGCTGACCTTCCTGTTGGAAAAGCAGATAATTATTATCTAAGTTTACTAAGTGTTTTGTGTAGTGTCAACATATCAGATCTAGTACAGCACTAAGTGCTTATCCTCCCAACATTTAAATATTACTTTTAACAATCTCATGAATAGAATTATTATTGCCTATATTTCACAGATTAGCAATCACAGTCTCAGAGAGGTTAAGCATATTCTCAAGGTCACACAGCTAGTTAATTTAGCCAGGGAAATCAGGCAAGAGAAAGAAATTAAGGATACCCAAATAGGAAGAGAGGAAGTCAAACTATCTCTGTTTGCAGATGACATGATCTTATATCTAAAAAACCCCATAGTCTCAGCCCAAAGCTCCTTCAGCTGATGAACAACTTCAGCAAAGTCTCAGGATAGAAAATCAATGTGCAAAATTTACTAACATTCCAATACACTTACAACAGTCAAGCCAAGAACCAAATCAGGAGCACAATTCCGTTCACAATTGCCATAAAAAGAATAAAATACCTAGGGATACAGGTAACCAGGAAGAAGAATGATCTCTACAAGGAGAACTACAAACCATTGCTCAGAGAAAACAGAGATGACACAAACAAATGGAAAAACATTCCATGCTCATGAATAGGAATAATCAATAGCATTAAAATGGCCATACTGCCCA